ATTCTGCTTTATCTGCTGGAACACATTTTTCATTTTCTGTAATTTTGAGCGAACAACTCTGTCAATCAAGAAAGTAACAGAAAAAAACCCTGAAAAGTATTTGTTTTTTTTCATGCATTGTTTATTTGGCTTTTTCACAAGACAATTATCAAAACTTGATTTTAGGTTAGTTGTGAAAAAATCTTGCCATGCCAATCTTATGATTGTTTACAATTTATGTTTTTCCATCATGAAAAAAAAAATAGAAGTTTTTACTTTTCTGTTTTTTCTTTGTTATTTTACTGTTGGAGCCTAAAAGCTACTTTGTCAGAACCAAAACAGCAGCAGCCAGTACCTGAGGGCATCTTTCTGATCTCTGAACTCCTGCTTTGGAAACACCATGGCAGGACTGGAGTTGACCGGAAGAGCCAGCCTGTTGTTCAGGTACATGTCCTCCAACCAGTAGTCACACACCTGAAAGTAAACACCAGGACACACGGGGAGAAAGCGTTTGGCTTTGTTACCTTCAGAGCTGGGGCCTGTGGGTAATGGAGGAGAGACGATGCTGCAGTGAAACAAAGAGTGGGAGTGYGATGGACTTCAGCGAGCTTACGCACACGTGTGAGGGGAAAATGAAGTGAGCAGAGGCTCAATAAATCATCACTGAATGTTTGGATTTTCGTCCAGCTCTGAGAAAGGTTATATGTCACTTTGCAATTTTGATTTTTAAAATAGTCATGTTCAGTGTTGTGTATTATTTGTTTTTTATTTGGCAATATCTTACTAATAACTTATCCCCTACCACCAACCTCTCACCCACATCACTCGCTGACATATCAGGTCCTGGTTCCTCAAACTAAACAGCCACATCTTTTTTTTATCACAGGAAAAACTCATATTTCTTGTCTTTTTCTATGAGGTGCAACAAGTGTTTTATGCTTTGTCTTTACCCAATTGGTTGTCTTGTCCTGCCGCTCTAAAAGTTTCTTCTGAAGAACCTCACCGACGCCTCCAGGAGCCCCAAACTTCTCCACCATGGTCCTAGTCTTCCTGAACTGCTCCTCCGTCACCAGGTGCTGCACGCACTTCAGGTACGTGTCCAGAGTTTGTTTCAGCGGGGGGACCGGAGCCTTTGGCAGCACCTGAAATCACAACAAATATTTTAAATATTCAGGAAGTGGTTAGAAGGCAGCAGATGATCTAAAAATTTATGTCTTTTTTTTGACTCTATGTCCTTTTATGCATAAAGAGGTAATTCCTCGGTGTTTCTTATGTTTTTTATGTTTAGACTCTGCTTTAATAATTCATCTTGAATGCTTTGAGGCTTGTTTGAGAATGAATTCCACTTCCTCGTGGGTATTGTTGGAAAGTGCAGATTGATTATTTTTTCTGTCTGAAGTTACATGATTTGCATGCTGAACACTGCTGATAAGCCGGGCTGATAATAATGTTAAGATCAAGAGATTTGTGGGAATTGAGATTAATTTAAAGCTTAAATTCTTAAATTCCATCAATCCAACTGCAAGAAACAATTCTCTTACTGGTATTATGGAATACAAATGGGAGTTTATAGTCAGTACCTGCAGAAGGAGTGTATGAAAGTTATAATTTGAATGGGGTGTAGGCACAAAATGTAGGAAACGTGTCAGAGATTTTGCCCCTGGTGGTCAAATAGGGAATTACAGCGGGCACTGTCCGCGGTGCTGAACTCAGCTGCGCCATTTGACCAATTTAACAGAAACACCGTTTTGTGTTTAAGGAAGCGAAGCTGCAAAACCACTGTAACTGAATTAGTTTAARGAGGATAGGTTCATACTCGGCTGTCTTGGCCTTTTGTCGCCTCTTTCCCGCGGGTTGACATGTTGTTAGTCCAAGTCTGGTCAAGAGACTTGAGTTCAGCTGTTTCTGATATGAAACATAAAAAAAGGAAAAAGAAGAGGGGGGAAAAAAAGGGAAAAGCAGTGAAGTCCACTGAGACAAGCATGTGAAAGTGAGCCTGCAGCGCGCGCCTTCATTCTTCATCGCTTTAATGCAATTTGCTGCGTGTCCCTGAAATCCAGCTGCGCCCCATCGCTCACCTCCGCAACCAGACATGCACTTTAAAAACGTGACTTTAAATTGATCCTTTTACTTATACAAACAGTGTCTTTTACAGACAAAAATAAATACATGTTCAGTTATTTTGTTGTAAGAATTAAAATACATTTTGGCGAAAAAAAAGTTGGTTTCATAAAAAGCATATATTTCAAAAAAAGAAAGCTCATTTCCTACTCGTGACACTTTTTCCATTTTTCTACATTTAAACATTTATGGAAGAAAYAAGACCCGAGATTCCAAACTTGGGAACAGCCTGACTCATGTAATCTGGAAAAAAAAAAAAAAAAAAAGCGATGGCTTGAAGAGTTCACTTTTGAACATTTCAAGTTTAAAACAATAAATATGTGGGGCTTAACTTCAGAATAAATTTCTATCAGAATTTGACATTCCGTTAAGTTGATTGACAGAATAATAAAAATCCAATTTTTTATATAATAGCTAAAAACACAGTGTCCTCAAAGAGTGAAACGTTTTATAAACTATATAATTGGCCGAAGTTTGATATAATTTAACACCATTAAGAGCAAATCTTTCAACTTTCACACAAGTATTGAAAAGCAATAAATAAAAATTTGTGAATTCTTGAGAGGCAAACAAACACTTACCTGTTTGGTTGCAGCACTCAGGAGCTCAGAGGAGTTTGGAGAGGTTCATGTTGCTTTTCTACGTCCGGGCCACGAAGCCTCCATCTTCTTGGGAATAAAAAAAACTCGGACTGACCGCTCCCCCCACCACCACACACACCCACCGCGTCCTCTTCACGCCGCGCCTCAAAAAGCTGCGGCTCCACATGTGGAAGCTCGGCTTGAAAAAGATGCTGAAGGTGTTTACCTTCCCCCTCGAGGCAAGAAACTCCTCCCATCGAAATCAATTCGTGGAACATATTATCTGAC